AGTTCCGGGGAGACTTCCTGGAGGACTTTCTATGCTCAGGGTGATCCTAGCGTTTGTGGGATGGGTGGATTCCAGACATTGGAAAGTCCCTGGCAGAAAAATCACTTCCACTAAAGGGCAGTTTGCAGGGAGGCAATTTCAGCCCCACCTAAAGGACTTGTGATCAGAGCTATCCAAATGTGGAGCACTCCCCATTAGTGGAGGCATGTAAGGAGAGACTTGGCAAGCTGGAGAGGAGACTCCTACATGAGACAGTGGCGGAGGCAGAGTCTCTCCTAGGCTTTGTGCCTCTCTGATGTGATCCATTCCAGTCTAGTTACATATAACAGGTCTATGTGAAGGTGGGACCCAAGTCAGGGAGTGAGGGAGCAGGCAGGTGGGAAGACTTGCTTCCAGCCCTCCCCTAAATGACAGTAATAATAGCTGCTGCCGTTTACTGTGGGCAAGCCCTGTGTTAAATGCTGAACCGGGCTTGATCTCAAATTCTCACCACAACCCTGTGCAGTGGGTGCTCCAATATCCCCATTTTATAGTTGGGAACTGAGGCCCAGGGTTTAAGTCACCTGTTCAAGGTTGCCAGTAGATGCTGGAGCTGGGATTTAAACCTAGACAATCTGGCTTCAGCCCTCTATGCTGGGTGGAAATCTACAAAACCTACCTGTCACAAGTTGGCCTCTACCTACCCTGCTGCACCTGGCTGACAGTTCCTGGGCCCTGACAGTCTCACAGGTATGGATTCAGCAGCCACCACCTCTTCTTGCCGGGTGAATCAGCACTTTACCCTCCCTCTGGCTGGCTTCTTTGTGGAGCCAGGCCCAGCTTGCCTGGGTCCCCAGGGTCCAAGGATAATACCATGCAGACAACATTCGCCTTGATTGGGAGCCAGGCTCTCTGTTGCTCAATGCCCCCCTTCTTCCATTAAATGAGACCCTCCTTAAAAACTCTCTTCCAGAGCTTAAAGTCTTTCTCATGGCTGTTGCGTACATTTTGCTTTTTTGCAGCAGTGTTTTTTCCAGCCTAGCTCTCTTGGTGCCAAGACCTTGTCCACATGATTCAGTTTGTTCAAGTTCCCAGTCTAGTACCCACAAGGCAATAAATTCTGTCCCTAATGGTGGCAATGTGGTGCCTTCCTCTGTCCTCACAGCTAAGTAAGATTACAGAGGAAGCCTTAGCAGGGATGGTGATTTATCTAGAATTGACCCATTTGGCTGGGTTGGCATTCATACCTTATGAAGGCACAGGGAGATACTAAGGACATCTCTGTGCCAGGCAGGTTGCTAAGCTCTCCCTGAATTCATACAGTACCTGGGAGATAAAGGGCTGTGTCATTCCCATGTTAGAGATGAGGAGACTGAGGATCAGAGAGGTTAAAGCATGTGTTGAGAAGCCAAGATTTTTGCCTCTCTATGCTACTGCCCTTGAGGCTCTGTGTCAGTTGTTGATCTGATAGCAGTATGAGTTCCACTCACTGTCGGGTAGAATAACTACATTTGAGCTTTCTCTCCCACAGCTGCCTGGGGAGTGAGCCTTGGTAGTGCTATTTTATAGATGAAGAGGGTGATTAGGGACTTCCCAGGGAACCATAGGGGAAGGGGCACACCAGGGATGGGTGGTGGTCCTTTTGACCCCCTCCCCCCCTTGCTCTACAGGTACCTTGTCAACTCCACCACACTGGATTGCAGTCATTGTGGCTCTCCTGCTTGCCTCCTTGGAGGAGCTGTTCCAGGCCCCACTGAAGCTGTGATTCACAGAGGCCAGCAGACCAGCTGGCCCGGTGGAGGCTGGGCTGGGGCCAGGTACTTTCCAGTGTCTTTCCACAGTTGGGAAACCTTTCTTGAATGACACTTCTGCAGAGGGTGCCTCCTGGTCCTCCCTGCCTTGGTTTCCCTCCTGGCCAAGAAAGGCCACTCCTCCCCTTTTCCCTGGAAATCACATAGGCAATGTAATTTTTTTATTAATTAAATATAATTTGTCAAATTGGTTTCCGTACAACCCAGTGCTCCTCCCAACAGGTGCCCTCCTCACTGCCCATCACCCACTTTCCCCTCTCCCCCACCTGCCATCAACCCTCAGTTTGTTCTCAGTATTTAAGAATCTCTTTATGGTTTGCCTCCCTCCCTCTCTGTAACCTCCCCGCCCCCCACCATGGTCTGCTGTTAAGTGTCTCCAGATCCACATAGGAGTGAAAACATACAGTATCGGTCTTTCTCTGCCTGATTTATTTCACTTAGCATAATACCCTCCAGTTCCATCCATGTTTCTGCAAATGGCCAGATTTCATTCTTTCTCATTGCCAAGTAGTATTCCATTGTATATATAAACCATATCTTTTTTATCCATTTGGCAATGTAATTTTTTAAATGTTTATTTTATTTATTTTTGAGAGAGTGAGCAGGGGAGGGGCAGAGGGAGGTGGGGACAGAGGATCTGAAGCAGGCTCCATGCTGACAGCAGAGAGTCCGATACAGGACTCCAACTCATGAACCATGAGATCATGACCTGAGCCCAAGTCGGGTACCAACTTAACCAAGTGAGCCACCCGGGTACCCTGGCAATGAAATTTTTGACCATCATATTGCAGTGACAAGAGTTCTGGAACTCTTAACCCAACCCTATAAGGCATGACTCTTAACCCCAGAGGAGGAAGCTGGGGCTGGTTCAGGATCTGGGACTTAAACCCTGGGCCTGCAAAGCCCTTAACATTGGCTAAGTTGGGGCACCTGGGTGGCTCAGTTGGTTAAGCCTCCTTCTCGATTGTGGCTCAGGTCATGATCTCACAGTTAATGAATTTGAGCTCTGTGTTGGGCTCTGTGCTGACAGGGTGGAGCCACCTTTGGATTCTCTCTTCCTCCCTCTTTGCTCCTTCCCCACTCACATGCTCTCTCACAGTAAACTTTTTTTTAAAAAAAGAAAGTACAGAGAGTTCGATAAAGCCATCCCACCCCAGATACATAGTATCTCTTGTTATTAGCATGTATTACTAGTGTGGTACATTTGTTATAATTGATATTGATAACATGATTATTAACTAAAGTTCATAGTTACATGAGGGTTCCCTCTTGGTATTGTACATTCTCTGGGTTTTGACAAATGTATAATGGCACTCTGACAATTGTGATATCCACAATTACAGTATCATACAGGATAGTTTCACTGCCTTACAAATCTTCTGTGCTCCACTTATTCTTCCCTCCCTCCCCACAACCCCTGACAACCACTGATCATTTTACCATGTCTGTAGTTTTGCCTTTTCCAAAATGTCATGTAGTTAGAATCATACAGTATATAGCCTTTTTAGATTGGTTTCTTTCACTTAAACACACACACTTACAGGGGTCACCTGGCTGGCTCAGTCTGTGGAATGTGTGACTCTCGATGTCAGGTTTGTGAGTTCAAGCCTCATGTTGGACATAGGTTACATTAAAAAAAAAATGTTATGCAAAAACATGCCCCCACAATATTTTTCAGATGTTCTCGCTGGGGCACCCAGGTGGCTCATTCGGTTGAGCATCTGACTCTTGATTTCGGCTCAGGTCATGATCTGGCAGTTCATGGGTTTGAGGCCCGTGTCCATCTCAGTGCTGACAGTGTGGGCCCTGCTTGGGATTCTTTCTCTCTTCCTCTTTCTCTCCCCTGCCCTCTCTCAAAATAGATAAACTATATAAATATCTATATATCTATATATCTATATCTATATCTATATCTATATCTATATCTATATCTCGTGACTTTCTGCCCCTGACATGGAATAGCTCTTCATTTATTTAGGTGTTCCTTGGTTTCTTTCATCATAGCTTTATAGTTTTCATTATATAGATCTTCTACATATTTTGTTTATACCAAACTATTTCATTGTTTTGGTCCTAACATAAGTGGTATTGTGTTTTTAATTTCAAATAGGTGATATATATGCACAGGAAAAAAAAATTCAAGAGGTACAGACTGGTTTACAGCTTCCTCTCTGTATCCTATTCTTTAGGCCTCTGTTTTCAACTATCCAAAGACATTCACTGATGCTAGGTTCTTTTTTTTTTTTTTTTTTAATTTTTTTCTTTTTAATGTTTGTTTATTTTTGAGACAGAGACGGAGCATGAACAGGGGAGGGTCAGAGAGAGAGGGAGACACAGAATCCAAGGCAGGCTTCAGGCTCTGGGCTGTCAGCACAGAGCCTGATGCGGGGCTTGAACTCACGGATGGTGAGATCATGACCTGAGCCGAAGTCGGACGCTTAACTGACTGAGCCACCCAGGCGCCCCTGATGCTAGGTTCTTGTGGGTCTTTCTAGAAATTGTATGCACATACTCAAGCTCATATGAATATTTACTACTAATTCAACAAACATTCATGAGCATTTGCTATGGGGCAAGCACAGGAGCTGGGGCCAAGAACAAAAGGAAGCCCTGCTCTCATGGAGCTTATATTCTTTATAGTTGGTACCACCAACTATAAGAACTCTTCGTGGCAGGTATTAGTATCTCTGTGGGAGGGCTGAGGGCCAAAGGAGGACTCTCTGGGCCAACTAAATTCTCCAAGAGCCTAAGGAGAGAAGCTGGGTCCTGCCAAGAGCTAGGGGCAGGGCTGCTCAAGGCCAGAGGAAGCAAATTCTGGAAGGGAGGGCTTCTTGCCAAGGCAGATAGGTACAGATGAGGAGGGGGTGAGGAGGAAGCTTAAGGAAGCTGCTAGACCAGTCTGGCCAGAGTCCAAGTTCCAAGAACTTGGAAATCCTGTTTCCAGGTGGCTGCATTAAAATTTTTTTTAAAAATATTTATTTTTGAGAGAGAGACATAGTGTGAGTGGGTGAAGGACTGAGAGAGAAGGGGGGGAGACATAGAATCTGAAGTAGGCTCTAGGCTCCAAGCTGTCAGCACAGAGCCCAATGTGGATCTCAGACTCATGGACCTCGAGATCATTGACCTGAGCCTAAGTCAGCCACTTAACCGACAGCCACCCAGGCACATCGGTGGCTGCATTTTAATTCCTTAATTTTCTTTCCTCTCTAGCTTCTTAGACACATTCTTCTGGGGACCAGCCTAACTTTGTTTGGCTGACATGAAGAAAAAGGATTTTTATCCATATAGAGACCAACACTGCCAGGGGAGTGGCCAGGGTGTCCCCAGAGGCACAGAAGGTCAGACAGGCCTGTGATGAAGAGCCAAAGAGAGGCAGTGGGCGGCTGAGGACTGAATATCTGAGTGGCAGCTCTCGGCCAAGTTGGCTTCCCCACTTGGGTCTCCCTGTCAGGTTGGAGGTAACATTTTTTATTTTTTATTTTTTAAAATTTACATCCAAATTAGTTACCATATAGTGCAACAATGATTTCAGGAGTAGATTCCTTAGTGCCCCTTACCCATTTAGCCCATCCCCCTTCCCACAACCCATCCAGTAACCCTCTGTTTGTTGTCTATATTTATGAGTCTCTTCTGTTTTGTCCCCCTCCCTGGTTTTATATTATTTTTGTTTCCCTTCACTTATGTTCCATCTGTTTTGTCTCTTAAAGTCCTCATATGAGTGAAGTCATATGATTTTTGTTTTTCTGTGACTAATTTCACTTAGCATAATACCCTCCAGTTCCATCCATGTAGTTGGAAATGACAATATTTCATTCTTTTGATTGCTGAGTAATACT